CATACGCATTACCGACAATTTTTTTTTCCTTTTTAGACAAGAAATTAGTAGTAATGGATATATTTGATTAGCATATCACTGTTTTACAAAACATTCCCCGTCATGTTAAGGACTTCAAGTCATAACCATTTAAAACCGAAGCTCCTCTAAATAATAAGAGTTCAGTTCGTACCTCAAAGAAAACGCAACATTTCTCCATTACGAAGATTAACAGTTTAATGCTGTCCAAGGAAATCTCTGTTTAAAATGGGAATCATATGAAACCTTTAAATCCATAATGCATAGCTAATGATAGTTAAAACAGGTGGTGCATATATTTACCACTGGCCTTTAAAGGGGCGTCATGCAAATATTTAACACATAATGGAAGTATATACGTCCGTTGTCGCCACGGAATGGCGCGCTCTCAGGTTGCAGATGGACGAGTGACGGCCTCCAGATAGTTGCGAGCACTTTTAATAAGCAGTCTCGGACAACCGAGAGTTCGGTGGTTGTTCAGCTTGTACACTAAGACTAGAGTCTACAGTACCTGTCGTAAAAACTAGCATGTTATGAAACGTTACGCAACTAGCAGAATGCCAGAAGTGTTACTACGGCGAAATTCAACAAATGCATACGAGGTGCGATCGGAAGGTTTCCAGACTGCGCGTATAAAAACCCGTACACTTATCTCAGGTATTAAATTCATCCATCACCCTCGAAGTAGTTCCCCTGGGAGTGAACACAACGATCCCAGCGCCGCTGCCAAGCCTGGAAGCATCCCTGGAAATCTTTCTTTGTCAGCCTGTCAAGCACCATCTGCGATTCTGCCTGAATCTCTTCTATCGTCTCAAATCTCCTTCCCTTTAGCTGAATTTTCATCTTTGGGAAGAGGACCTCGTAGCACCGTTCTTCTATGAGGCTCAGTTACCGACCTACAAAAACCATTTTCACCAAGACTCGAACCCAGGACAGACATTCGTGGTTGTTTCCTTTGTTCTTGTCCTCTCCCCACCGAAACAAAAAACTTTGGTCTTGGCTCCGTTCTCATATCACAAATTTTAATAACGTTCTGCCTCAATCAGTAGATCCTCTGACCTGTCCCATCCTCAAGAGAATTTAGCGTGTTGCATAATACGTATTAGATTATTATTCTAAACGAATCTCTAATAAGTTCGTAACCCATAAACAGTAATAAGCCACTTTCGCGTAACTGATATTTGAGTTGATGCATTGCAAGAAATAAATATAGAATTATTACTCTTACTTGTAATTAGTTTAGTTTCTGCAAATGAAAGGGTTTGCCACATATTTCCTACTATTTACGACCGTGTCGCGGCATGGTAATAACTCTTGTTAATGCCAAATACAGGCTGTCCCAAAAAGATATATACACACATTCAATACGTTTGCGTTGCTCGAAACTCAATTGACCCTCCGCCATTTTGCATGATCTCCTAGAAATCAACATGCATTGTGGGTAAACAGAAGGAATTTATATTATCAACCAAAGTTTCTTTCTTAATGAGGTTCTGAGAATATTTTTTTAGTTTACATTCTCACAGCCATAACTAGTGTTGCATAGTAAGCCATGTAGAGTTTGGTGTTGGCGACATAAACATACCAACATATTATGTATGAAATATTGTTTGTAAGTAAACGATTTAAGTTGTAAAAAATTAACGTAAACAGAATCAATATTTAAGTAAGACGTTCTTCACAGATATTAAATGAAAATTACTTTTGGAACATACAGTGAGAATAAATAAGTGACTTGAGTGGGATTCGATCGTAGGACTATTTAAATATGAACACAGCACTGTAGAAGTGTAAACTTAAGACTTCTAACTTGAGCACTGACACCGCATATGTAGACCAAACTATTGTCCACAGACCAGGAGAAAATCCCTGCGTCGGGATGTAGTTTCTGGTGCGGTGCGGGGGCAATGTTACTAATCAGCTGGACTAGAGGGCTGCTATTGGTGGGAAGTTAGAGTTTTACGCTACTACACAGACTGAAAACATCAAGCAGTTAAGAGTAGCGTGTAGTGAGTGCACCTCTAATGTGTTCTGCGGGTGTTGCGATAATATTCTAGATTAAATCACTGTGCCGCTGTGAGGTAATCTTAAAGCCGTATCCATTAAAACACATGAAAGATTGTCGTCTGTTGTTCGTTCAGTGGTTGTGGAACGAATGCTTTTAGGATGGGACGTCACTCACCGCGAAATCTTGCGCATGCGCGTATATCGAATTCCTATCAGGGCTTTTCTCCTGGTCTGTGGACTGTATCTGTGCAACAGCCTACGCTTACAGGCTTTATGAACTGTTCCCGGAACTCACAGCTGAAGACAAGGCTGCAGTGTTCTGAAGAACATTACTGGAGATTTACTGCACTAGACCGCCATTTTACTGCAGGTACAGGTGCAGACAAAAGAGATAAGATTATAAGTGTGGGCGAAATTAAGCCTCATGAATACTTCCCATTGTGAAGATGTCTGGCTTTCGTGTTAGCCAGCTCACTTTTATCACAAGTCCGGAAGGTTTATTGCTGAAGGAAAATTAAAAATCCTTGGATATAAAATTAATGTTAAGATAGCAGTAGTTGAGACACATAACTGAAATTCTTTCTTGTTGGGCGTTCAGTAAAACAATTACACAGCTATAAAATATGATAAAGGTGACTGCGCTGACTGGTTAGATAATTAAAAGACTGAAGATTTCGCGGGGTTACCATGTTGTTATTTTTTCAGTCGATATTTTAACAGAAAGTGCATTACTTCCATATATACATATATATAATCAAAGAAAATTACGATAATAGTGTTGGTCACGCCTCAGAAAATCGAAATGAAGTAGTGTTGATAAATGAATGCTCAAGAAGTCGCGTGTTAAAGCAAAGTAAATAAACCGAATGGTGAGGTGGTACTTCAATTGTCTTACCCAAATATCTTAAAAAATCGTAATTTTCAAATTAAAAGTAAGGAGGTAAACACGAATTCTAAGAGCCTCTTCTGGTCTATTTTATGAATTACATAATTTTCAGATCAGCGATATAGATCAGTAAATTCTTAAAAACATGTTTTTTAGTTGCATCGTTAAATCGTTCTTGTTTGTTTATTTATTTTTTACGTCAGCGTTTCAGATCATTGATAAAAACGAGTATGTTTTTGCAGTTGATACAACAGTTATGGAAAAAACAGAATGTGGCTTAAACTGAAAAACGACATGTTACTGTGGCAAATAACAAGCGAACACAGTTTTAAACTTTTAGTAATGAGACTGCTCAGCGGTTTTCTGGGGGAACAAAGACAAATGGAAACAAATAATGATGCATAATTTAATAAAAAAAATAGAGCAATTCGATGGTATAATATTTAAAACGAATGACAATGAGTAGGTTAATAAAGTTTCTAGACTCTAACGAAGAACATGAAATTAAATTTTAAAAATAACACGCTTGGAGATTGTGGAAAAGAATTTTTTTAACACAGCCGCAAACAAAACTTTTCATTTTATACGGATCAGAAGTTCGGACAATAGTAGGAAATATGTGTACCGGAAGAATTAATGCTTATGAAATACGTTCTCCGATATCTGTAGTACGCGAACTCAAACTAGAGGTCAGCACAGGTCGAAATTTTAGAATTTCACTCGACCTCAGGAGCATTTGGACCAAGCCCGAAATTTATCTTCAAATATGTTACTCCAACCCCACCCAAGCCAGACTTCCTTTTTTCCAAGGTCGAACGAAGCCCGATCTATTTACAATCTGCCCAGACCATCGTATCATTAATATATATTTATTTTAATGCATAAATGTCAGTAATTCCTGAACGAATTATTTAACGACTCTCTAAGAACATCTGAGGAACGGTACAGGTTTTCGGATGCAGCTACGAAAATTCCCGAGAAAATAAAGTCGTGGGATTTTTTCTTCCGGAATCCGATTGTATCACGATCGTAAGATGAGCGAATAACTTTTTCATTGCGAAAAACGACTGGCCCGAGAAAACCCGAAATATTCTCTATTCCGTTTCAATATTATCATTTGAACCAGGGTCAGGCCCTCACAGACCTCTATCACAGACAGAACGGTATGAATATGTTAAAAATGAGGCTCGTATTCCAAACGCATTTGTTAATAATAATCCACAAGGAAATATACATTTTAATACCAACAAAGAGGAGGCTTTAATGGAGTAATATCATCCGGTCTGTTACTTCAAGTTGATGAACAAAAAGGTTGACTCCGAGGTGAGAAGAGATGACAGCGCCCCTCTAACAGCAACATTTCGCTACTGGAGTTCAACCCCCTCCTCCCACCCGTCCGCCGCTTTAAAACACTCCAAATGTTTATGTCAGTGGCTTCAAAAAGTAACAGGTTAAGACAGCTATTTGTGTCTGACTTGCATTCAGAAGATACCAAGTTTAAATCTTCAAAGGCTTTTCGTTGTTTTCCGTATTATCCCCAGGCAAATATTGGAATAGTTCCTTATATTTGTCACGCATATGTCCTTCCACGTTCCTGAGATCTCGTTCGATAATCCATCGCTTCAGAAATTTATACAGTTCCGTAAACTGATTGAATAATGAACAAGCAACTGATTTCAGATTCTCATGGCTGCGATATGAAGATAACTGTCATATGGAACGCTGCACCACGTATCCTGGGAAGTTTACCGACGTTTCAGAGGTACTTTCTGCCTCAGTATTCAGGGAGGTGATGGAGGCAGCAGGCACCTCTGAAACGTCAATAAACTTGTACCAGACTACACGGTGCAACATCACAGAAGACATTCAACTTTGACGGAAAATGCTGTGGGTAAACGGGAAGATTAAACGAAGCTCACATAACCTAACCTCACCAAATCAGAACTACGAAGATCTGAGCACTTGTATGGAATGAGAAACAGACCTGAAATAAACTGGTTCGTTATCGGAACAGCTGGTGCAGTTACATACTTGTTCATATTTAAGAGATCTTAATGCTGGACAAATTATCACAGGGTTTTGTACTTACCGCAGAGTGGCCGCTAGGAACTAAGAACAGGAATCCGATTGCCAGCGCCAGCCATGGGGGCGCCGAAGTCCGCTGCAGTCCCCACATGCTTGACTCAGGCGACCGGTGCTGAATGCTCCATGTTGCTTCCAGAGTCTCTGCCCTCTTCCCCCCTCTCTCTCCACCCACCAGGACTAATCCAGCGCTCCAACTAGAAGCTGAAACTGAACAAGAGCAGGTTCGCTCGCTTGCTGGCTCGAAATATTCAAGATTTCAGTTCCTAGTCGTCCGAAGAAGAAAGGCTTTACCAGTGTTGAGGGAGCAATCCAGCAAGAGACTGTTGAGTTTGGTGGATGTTTACTGGAGATTTTCAGTCTGCGAGTTTGTGCTGTGAGGCGTGAGATGAGAGCTTAACTCCGCCCCGTCCGTCCGTAGTGAGGCTGCTTCAAGAAGGATCTTGGCAGTCTGGCGGAGAAGAGCTACAGCTAGAGAGACAGGAGATCAGCTCACCGGTGGCGGAATGGTCGGCCCCGGTCTGCGGTACGTGTGTGTGTGTGTGTGTGTAAAAGTGTTTTCTGTCTGTATTATCGAAATAGTGTCAAAGTGTTGTGACGACAAAATACGTTGTGTTGTGTTACAGGTTGTTTGCGTCCGTCTCTTGGTTGGTGACCTGCTGTACTGCGGTGAGTTCACTCTTTTGCACACTTACGTCTTCCTCACTCCATCACCTTGCGTCATATTAAAGACAAATATTTAATTGTGTCGTCTGACAAAATTGCCCTACTCATGTGACACTATTTCAGTGACAGCCTACCGGCCTCGCAGAAAACTAAGAAAGTTATGGAATAATAATATTAAAACGTTTCATAGAACATTTATTTTGCGAATGTTAACTGGCTCACTATCGTATACGTTGGCGGGGTTTCGTGTCAATGGTACTGAAACTTCGGTCCATTACCAGAACGATGTTGCTAAAGGCTGTTTAGGCGGTCTTAAACGGGAAGTGTGATTTTTGTCGTTAGAATAGCCCATCGTAGCATCCTCGAGTTCAAGAGAGCTTCAATTCCAAAGTAATGAAGTAACTAACTTTATGAAGCAGATCCGCTAGTTCGCTGCGCGCAACTAGTCAAGATATTACCCGCCATTTATGAAACTACAAGGTTCATTGCCGTGTTCACATCAGCCCTTTCGCTGGTCCCTATCGCAAGCCACATGAATGCAGCCCACACCCTCCCCTCTTACGAAAATATTTGTGGACCTCAAAGCCACTTTGTAACTACCCCGTATCCTTCTGCTTTCCCCCCTCCCTCATGCAACCCCAAACCTTTCACCTTTCCTGCATTATTCGTGGTTTTTATAAGCCTCATAACAAATGTTATACAACGTGTAGGTACGCTTAAAATAAAATATAAAATAAATTGTCTCATTTATTATGTATCTCACATCGTCTTTCTGAATTTGTCGTATGAAGAAAAGATAATTTTCCAAACTATTAACAGTATTGCATCTTTGGCGCTGTAACTGCGTTTAAGCCTGGGCTTTCTCTCGCCGTGGAGGTATTCAGACGAGCAGGACAAAAGAGAAAATCGAAGACAAATATCCGTACCCTGAAGTTGATTAAAAATGATTTGCGTGTGTCTGGTGACCCCTAGATCGGGCGGCAACCAGAAAGTCTAAGCTTCTGCTCTTTTTTTATTAATGTTTGCACGGATTTGTAGAAATGTTGTTGCCTTCCATCGACCGCTGTGCTCAGCGGGAACTCAGACGAGGTCTGCGTCCCATAGCAACAAATGAATTGCGAGAAATTGCGTAGAGGCTTACTTTGAAATGTAGTCGTAACTAGAGGGAGCAATTACACATCATAAAAACTGTGCCCGCCTCAAATTCCATGGAACAGAGTCCTTTGAGAACCTAGTCGTTGCTTACTTGGTCCATAACTTCCTCGACTTCTATAAAACCAAAGGGTTCTTTGGTATATTCGTATCCTGAGTCGAGATCAAACCCTGACGATTAAAATATAGTTAAAAAGTGTTGAATAGCTACAACTTCTCGCATTTAATGATCTAGACTTATATTAGATAGTCTATAGCAAAAGTAAAGTAAGGTAAAAATAACGTGCAGACAGGATGTCCCAGACTCTGGCGTTCTCGAGGTCTTAAGAAAAGGATTAAACCAACTTTGAAGTGGATCTCGACTCTGTCATATCCCGCGCCATGTTTTTCATCAAAATTTATATTTCTCGTCCATTATATGCTTGCTTTTACAATTATTGTTGCCTGACTTCTTCAAATCGTGTTTGAGGAAATCAAAACTTAACTTTTGAATGTTCCCGTTGCCACCCTGCTTTACCCACTGAGGTCCTAGGACTGACAATACGTTCATGGAGTCCTTTACACGCATCTTCATAAGGATTCCACCCTCCTCCTCAGAGGGAGAATTTTACGTGTTTGGTGTTAATTTACCATCCTATTTTTCTGTCACAAGTGTGAACTCACTCACTCTGTGAAGCACAGGCTTTGAGCAGTCGCTCATCTGGTCAAGAAATTCCGCTTTTATGGAATTCGAAGGTTATTACAATGTTCCCAAGAGCGTCTGTCGACTCGTTTTGGTTTGTCCTGCAAGAGTACAAATAGCAAAGTAAGCAGTAAATATGACTTTTGGAGAACACTAGACTTTATCCAACTGTTCTCTCCGTGTTGTTGATTCGTATTCATGTATTTTCACACAGTATACAAATAATTTGCTGCATGGTAAGGGCATATACCAACACAAATCACATTCTACTTCTACCATTCCTACTAAGCACCAAAGAGTTATTTTATTAGTTCGCTTATAATACGCCATATGAATTTTCTTAATATAAGAGTTACAATCCGTAACATGATCCGTATTAATTACGAGGTATTTTCACGAAGTGCGTGCTATTAATGAGTCGTAGTTGGTACGCGCGTATGCTTCGAAGCCTCTGGAGCGTGTGTAATCTCTCCTTTGCATAAACTCAAATCGAAATCGTGGGACGTCACCTTACAAATAATTTGTATTGTCATAACAAAAATCTCATTTAGGATGAAGTACAAATTTTGTTTTGACAATTTCTATGTGGTAATTGCTGAAAATAATGCAGCCTGCTATGTCTTCTTCAACAGTGGACTTTTATGCTGATTTTCGTCAGTGGTTAGTTTTCTATGTGCCTTATATTGGTTACAAAGTTTTGTTATTAACATATGTTGTATTTCGTAAAATTGCTTGAAAGTCCACTCCTTTTTTATAAAAGGTTTCGGCTCCTTTTACTCTCTCAAAATAGAAGGCATACTCGTGATTTTAAAAGAGATTACAAAGCGCTCAGCCATTTTAGTTGTGTCTTTTGTCGGAGGGTCGCTCGTTGTACTATTTCGGAAAAGAAATGAATCGCGTAGTCGACAGCGTAAAAAATTACTTTCCTCTTTAACGAAGTTTTTATCTTTCGTTTCTGATACACGATAGTCTGCAACCACCTGTTCGCCTCTTAGCACGATACGCCCACTTTCGACCTCCTTCCAATCCTGAGAACACCCGTAGCGGCCGCTAGACCCGACCGGGGTCTGTCTGTGTATTCATTCACAAATCTTCCTCCTTTTAACGAGGGACGTCGAGTTCACGACTGTACAGAAGATTCAGTCTCGCCTACGTTTCTCAGATGCTTACAGTATCGTAATCTTGAGATCGCTGCATGGTCTGGTAGTCTGTGAGATGAGCGAGACATGTAGCATTCATGGGGAAGATTGGAGTTGCGTATAAGATCGTTACTTTAGTTCAAGATAAAAAAAAATCTTGGGTGAACTAAACTCCCAGCTAGAATAATATTGTCACGAAGTTTCTGTATTGTCATGGGATCTTTCATTTTCCCATTCTCTCTTACGTACATAATCTAATTAATTAAAATTAACAATTAATGGAGGACCGTATATATTGAAGAACACTCATATCAATATGTTATTTAAAACTGAATGCGACTACACCATTTTTCTTTTCTTTTGTGTCTGTTCTAAGAAATGTTGTTTGAGACACTCTTCTCTAAGACAACTTTTTACACAAGCTTCTCGAATTTTAATCCAAAACTGAACTATGTACCAACTGCTGGAAATAAATGACTGAACCACGGAGTTCAATGAATTGCCCAGACCACTCCCTGCTCCTTATTTCCGAAATAGTCGACCAGCCACAGCTCTTCCATTGTCTTAATAAGTCTCGCAGGAAACTGTTGGCAAGTAGGGAATTGATGTGTTGTGAACCGGTCTTATTGTGGATCTGGAACTGCCCATTTTGAGGACCACTGCGCGGTGCCGGGGAACAGCTGCCTACTCTCCCTTCTCGTCCGACTCCTCTTACCTTTTAGGTGTGGTAACCGCGCCTAATTCTCTTTCCTTTTATGAAGTGGGTATTACTAAAGCAATGATGTGATTGTGGGTCAGGTGTGAGCAATCCATGTTTGTCTGCAGGCGACAGTGACGTAAATTCTATGGTGTATAGTGCTTCATCAGTAAGGTGGGCTTGGTTTGGATGATCAGGGTTAGGTTCCTGGCAGGGAAATACGTTTTTTCGTCTATAATTCCTAACCGTTCTGGAACTATCCACATTCGGGAGGGAGTGTTCTTTCCTCAGGGATAATGCGACCACTTATCTTTTATCTACTGCCGAGGTCTGAATCATAAAAGACTTTTAAGGAAATGGTTGTGGTCTAAGTTAAGGTGATATTCCGGCATTTACCTATAGGGACTGAAGAAAACAGAAAATTCTGTCTGGATACACGGTCTCCGCTTAGAGATTTGAAGGGAGGAACTCCAGTATACGAAGCAGAAGTGCCAACCACTTTGCCGCGAAATTCGGTGTTCAGCTCGAAAGTTGGTATTTCACTCCCAGAGAACGCTTATTGGGGTCTCTGAAAGCCAAGTGCCTAGAATAATATTTGGACCTCAGACGAAGCAACACACGGACGGAAAAAATTAATAAGTGATTCTTTAGTAATTATAATAGCCTAATGTTACTGCGATTAACCTTTTGAAGCCCGCAGCTCACATAAATAAGTTCTATAAACTCAGTTCCCATCTCAGTGAAAAACGCAACTCTTGTCCATTATAAAGATCAGTTTGTTAATGCTGTTTAGGAATATGTAAATAATCGCTGTTTATTCAGATAATAATACGAAACACTTTTCAATATACACTTTGAAAATTGAGCAGAGTTATTGATTGTTAAAGCAGGTGGTACATATAGTTACCACTGGACTTTAAAGGTAATGTAACACGCATGGGGGAAGTATGGAGCGAGGAACACGTTGCCTTATTTTCGGTAAAACAGTCAAGTAGAGATCATTTCGGAGACCTAGACACAGATGGAAGAATAATATTGACGTATGTGTTAAAGATATGAAGTGAAGTGACGTGACTCCAGGTAAGTTCCACAGTGACGAGCGTTCAGATTACGTAACAACGGGGAATGGGAATCCTTTGACCAGCTTAACAACTGTAAGCTACTGGAGAACCTTCATAGTCAGTCAGTAGTTAAGATCAAATCCGTAAATTACAGGCAACGTACGGAGACAGCAGTCGGTATGAAAGAATCCCTCAATATCGTCTTCTGGAAAACAGAAGTATTACAGTAAGAATGCCAGATTTATGTTTGAAACTGCGCTTAGTTTTGAACGAAGCTGAGTTCATATCTGTGATAGTCATTTCATACACGCCATTACTCATTTCAGGAAGCAGCTGCAAAAAGAATATTTCCCTTCCTGTGTACGTTCTTTACAGCTTGGCATTCTGAGTGTCCCTAAAAGTTCGAATATGAAGTGAACGTAAACCATGCACTTGAGGGATATTTTATGACCGATTGAGTGACCACCAGCTTCTCAAAAAGGACTTTACTCCGGTTAGTTAAAGAGGAATTAAAATACATTAAATTATCGCTTTTCCCCCTCCGCGTTATGCATGTCTGCCTTCGTCGTTCTGAACATAACCGAGTAAATGAACAAGGTTAGTAGGATAGCAAAGTTAATTTTTCCTCCGTTACGTAATAGTGACGACATCAGCAAGTCGGATTGCTTGAATACGATGCTTTCTTGGTGTCCCACGAAGCCGTTAGTCTTGTTTGCCGCCAGACAATGAATATGAGTGAACCAGGACACATCAGTCAATAAACTGACTGGACGACCGGGGTGTGATTCCCTGGAGGTATGAATTTTTGTATTTGCTACCATGCCGATTCTGCGGACCACCCAGCACGCTATTAAATGGAATTCAAGGGATCTTTTACAGGGGATAAAGCGGCCGGAGAGTAAGGCTAAGCCCTCACCTCCATCACTCTTGTCTAGTGCCTGGGTTAAGAATGAGTGAACGTTTACCTCCATTCCCATATGCGTGTTTAGGGCTTGGTGCTTAGTTCAGCACCAACAGGCATGTTTCACGATTCGTCGACTTTGAAGCCCACTAGAGAAATCTACGTGATCTACAGTAAGTAGAGGCAGGAAGGAATATGACCCCTGTAGTTGTCACGTAGACTGTACTGCAACGCAGCTGGGGCAGAGAAGTTGCCGATCGGTACGGATGTACGGCGATTACATTTCTAAATTTATACGGAAGTTGTTAGGCCCAAGATGAAATGGAAGGCATGCTAATCTTTTGAAATACATGGTACTATTGAGTTTAGAATCTTATGCCTTCCCGCTTCCCTCTTCAGAAACCTTAGACATTAATAGTACATAAAACTATAATTTTGCTATAAATTATGAGATTTAAGGTTTGTGGGGCGATGAAAGTGGGGATTATAGTTTTAGGCTTGTGATGCTGTGTAGTCTACTGCAAATGCAGTCGTATTTTGACCGCAGGGCGTGGGACCTCCAAGCAACAGTGCTGGTAGAAAATGCCGACATTCCATCTCACTCTCTAAAGAGAACATGGGTGAACCGGTCCACAACTGGCCCAAGCTAAGAGACAGGCAGAAATAATATTTGAGAGTGGGAAAAAGATGGGGGATCATAATGAGCTGCTTAAAACGGCCAAGGAACTGCGATATCTTTTTGTACTCTTAAGCATTTGACCGTTATCTTTGCGTTGTTGAGGAAAATATTTTGAACTATGGAGAAGGGAGCTGGAGCAGCTGGATAAAATTGCATAATAAGATACTTAGTGATTTTCTGGACATGTAGCACTTAAGGGAGAGACGAGAAGTGTGCACTGAAGTTTGGTCGGAAAACATGAAAGAAATACGGGCGTAGATGGGAGGATGATATTAAAATGGACGGTAAATAAGAAGGGCGGAAGGGGGGAACGTTAAAGCAGGCGGTAAACTTTGTTACCACTCCTCTGTAGAGGATTAAATTGTGGAGATGGATGTCCCATTTACTTGACAGTCGCCCTCCATACTAGATCAAGTACCTAAGTGAATCTGCCTTCCAGCTGGAATAGTGTTGAGTTCAGTAACCCCTGTTAGAATGGCCCGTCCATTCTGACCGTGCAGTCTTTGTCTTGGACAAGTTTCTACTTATTTGTATCTGAACTTTGCTGAATATAGTTAGTTCACTGTCATGGGTATCCGAATAAAAGTGTCTGCTTATTACATATGATCGAAATCTGCGGACGTAACTGTTAAATAACGTTTGGTAGATAAACAGAACGCGAACTTAACTGTAGGATTCTAGATGGAAGTTCAACAACCACCGCGGGTCGGTTTTAGGGGTGATTCTTCAAAACACCTTCCGAAATAACGCAAATTCTGCTAGCATTTGTGTTTATTTTATGACATTTATATTGTATTTTTGAAAAGTTTCTCTGTTAAGGTATCTCAAGAGATTGTTCCCATAGAAGATCAATGGTTACATCACTAGTTGCAACACCAAATGTTTTAGAAAGGTATCTCAAGAGATTGCTCCCATAGAAGATCAATGGTTACGTCACTAGTTGCAACACCAAATGTTTTAGCTATAAGTGACTGAATGAAGACTTGCCACGTGCTCCTGACATACTGAGCCACTCCTTTCACATCTTTACTGCTGTTTACTTCAGATAATTTTACACCACAGCTCCCTTCTGCATCCTATATTTGGTTGGTTGTGGTTTAGAAGGAATCACAAACACATGTTCGCTTCCATAGCGGCTAATGCGAATGGGGTAACCTCACACGTCATATTAGTAATCTCTCGCATTTTAATGTTGTATTTACTGCCATCCCATCATGCATCAGTGAAAACATATTTCAATACATAGAAAATCGTTCGTTGTTATTATGTTTTGCGTTTGAATCCTCCTCCAGAAGCGAATGGTCGCTCAGCACTGAGAAGTAAAAAAATGTTATTTTACAGTGCCATACATTTTCAAGCACTGATAGTCGTGTTACAAACAATCCACAAAAAATTTCAGTCAAACTTTTATTAGGGTCAAATTGGGTCTATGTAAACGAATTGCAGAAGAATTGTATTCGAATTTACTTATTCCCACGCATTCGACCGTTTCTTAACCTTTACTTGCAAGGACGTTTGAGAATGATTTCCCTGCTTATCACACCTTGCTCTATTTTGTGATTCCGTGAGTTTTAATTCGGAGGTAATGGATAGGAGATATCGATTTATCATGCCTACCACATGACCCTATTACGGAATACTTACAATGCCGTTAGGAAATTAAAATATTTTTAAAAATATAATATAGATTTCATTACTTTTCCCATCTTCCAGAACGAGATGATTGGGTAACAGTTGCATGGCGTTTTTGTTGTTGTATGTGGATTAATTACTCTATATTATGTAGTAGATGTCATTTCATTAAATTAGTTTTGTTTGTCGTAGGTTCTGTACTCCCAGTTGTGTTACCTTACTTTATGAGTTTTGAATAATTTCATATTCCTCCCTTGTTTTGCGTGGTAACGAAAGCCAATCCCATAAAGCTTAAAAATTCAAAGGAAAATAATTATGATACTGTATGGAGACAGTTGTCTTTTGGGAGCGCCATGTAGTCTGGTAGAGATTTACCAATATTTCAGAGGCTCTTGCCCTGTTGAAGGAGGTAGATTGAAGGGGTTTGAGGACAGGGTGCTGAGAAGAATATTTGGAAATAAAGGGATGAAGTAATAAGAAGCTGGAGACAATTGAATAATGATGGACTTTATAATTTGTAAGCTTCAATATATATTATTAGGGTGATCAAATCAGGGAGAATGAAATGGTCAGGATATGTCACACATGTAAGGGAAATGAGAAATGCGTACCAAATTTTAGTTCTAAAATTTAAACAGATGAGATGGCTAGAGGAATTGGGTGTAGATGGGAGGTTAATAGAGAAGTGGACAGAAATAGGGTATGAACTGGATTCAGCTAACTCAGGGTAGGGTTTAATGTCATGCTGTTGTGAACATGGTCATGAACCCTCAAGTTCCATAAAAGGAAGGAGATTTCTTGATCATCTGAGTAACTGTCAGTTCCTCAGGAGGACTTTGCTGCTTGTAATTAACGCGCTGTTCGTAGACCTCGTGAGTGTGGCAATATTGGGAGGGTTGAGTTTCTGAAGGTCGAAGTATAACAAGTGTTTGTTATTTGTTACAGCAATTCTGGCCCACATCATACAACTCAACGGGTTTGTATGGCAGGGTAGAGTCCGGCAGTGGCAGCAGTAGTTATGATACACCTGGCAGCAGTTACAACACTTATCCTGTCACAGGCAGTAGGACTCCACCAGCAAATTGCACTGGATCTGCCTGTTGCATACCAAAATGTTTTGCAGAAAAAGGATCAAGGGTAATTTATTATTAACTTGTAATGTATTCTGAGTGAGAACTCTAATTTGCAGCACTTCTCTTTAAAATGAGATATTGTTGTGACATGATCATTTCTGTTCTAAAGACCTGCTTAGAGCATGTAAGTAACTCAACGTAATACGTTTTAAAAATTAAGTAGTAGCTTTTATAATATAAATTTAACCTGTGTAAGACGTTGTATTCTTCTTGAACTAGTTGGATTTTAGGCTTATAAAGCCTTCTCCATCAACTCTTGTCTAAGAACTGGTCTTTCCGCATCTTTCTTGGATGACCTCCATTTCTTTTGTCTGTGGCACTTTTGGGACCAACACAGATTGAGGGTGTTTGAGAACAGGTTTCTCAGGACAGTAGTTAAACCAAAGAGGGATGGAATGACAGGAAGCTGGAGAAAGCTAAGGAGGATGAGGTGGGCAGAATATGCAGTATGCATGGGGGCACTGATAAATGTATACAAAATTTTGAAGATTTCTGTCTTCTGGGTTATATACAAAATTTTGTTTGGAAACCTTGAAAGGGAGAGACCACTTGGAAGACTAAGGTGTAGATGAGAGGATAATGTTAAAATAGATAAGGGAAATAGGATTCTGGCTTGTGGATTGGTTTCATCTGACTCAGGATAGGTGCCAGTCACAGGCTGTCATGAACATGGTAATGAACCTTTGGGTTCCAGAAAATGCTCTTTAGGAAGGACGCTGCTCCATGAAGTTTGTTGGTTGGCATACCATGTTTGACTCCCGGTAGGTCAGAATAGGTTTGTTTAGATTAGTTTAGCTTAATTTAGACTTTTTCTTTTACATGGGAAGCATAACAGCTAAGAAATTAGTAACTATTTCTAGAATTTTATCAGTCTGGGAAATACCGATTGAAGTGGAGACTGGAAGAAGACTAATGGGATGTTGATGTTGGTGTTGTGGTTTGTAATGCCATGAGGACTTGTTGGTTGATACCAAATATTTGGAGGGTACACTGTATTAAATCCCTGACCATAGTGGCAATATGTACTTCTGAAACATTGGCATCTATTTATAAGACCACATGGTATTACAATCCAGAAGATCAACCAACATCAACATCTTCAGCACTTTGAGGATCTGAAATCTCAAGACTTTTTGCCTTTAAGAAAAATAAATTATGATGCCCTTGGTTATATACATCTGAATTTAGATTTACATGTACAAATAAATAAACAAATATGATTTTTTTTACAATCATAACAAAATACATTTTGCAGAATGCAGAAATTACAAACCTGTATTTTACCATTTATAAATTTTCCTTAGTAACTGTACTTGAAAAGTGTATTACATAAACCTGTAAAGAATTTCCTATATAAATGCCATTCAGCAGTCCTGTGAACAGAGCATCTAGTGTTCCATACCTGCCTCTCATGTTCATCTTCATCAGCATGTACATTATCAGCACAGTTAGAAAACCTTGCACTGCTAAGAATAAACATGATAAGCAGCAATGTATGCACATATTGCTGAAAGCAGTTTTCAGTGACAACAGCAGGTTTTGCATTCTTATGTGTAAAAAAATGGTCAATATAGTGTACACTGAGCACATCTTATGTTCCAAACATTTGCTTCCAGTGAAGATTGAGATATAATGAAAACAAGTCTAGTTCTCTTTGCATATTACAACAAAAGCAATGAAGCCCCAAGGCGAAGTAATGAAAGAATTACAAATTTTACAGAAAATCAGATTTTCTGCATTGTTACAGAAGGGATTGGAAAGAAATATTTGATAAGATTTCTCCCCCCAGTATCAACCCAGAAAACAGAAATCTTCATACTCATCGCTGTGAAAACCTCAAATCTTACAACTCAGAAAATGTTGACATTTTTGCATCTTGCATGTTGTTTTACAGTTGTCATATAAAATAAGCCATCTTTATACACATTACCATGAGAACCTCAAATCCTACAAGGTATTAGAAATGAGATATTAATTATATTAGTGCCTACATTTCTGTTTTAAATGTACCCATAAAATATGTTTGGAAATGTGTCAGTTTGAATAGTGTGTGGTATTGATTTAGTAGTTTGGTAATGGTGGTTATGTGAGGGGAAGACGGTATGGAAAATGAAAGAATATTATGCTGAGCTGGGTCTGAGATTTTAAGGTTGATTGGTAGATTTGCAAGATGTCATGTTGGGGACCACAGGATGAATATTATCGATGAGAGTGAGCACTGATTGAACGAAACACAGTGGGATATTTTAATATTTTTAAACAGAAATCTAAAAAACTTTTGTGTGTTTTTGCAGGGACCCCCTGGTCCCCCAGGCCAAACAGGACCAATAGGACAACAAGGATTTCCTGGAATGGAAGGTCTTCCAGGACCAAAAGGGGACAAAGGGGACCCAGGTCCACAGGGACCTAGAGGACCGAAAGGAGACAGGGTAAGAACTGACAAAAACATGAACATTGTAGTTTACTTGTCATTTCTACTTTTAAACATGGATGCATGGTTCATTTAGTTGTAAAGGTAAAGAAGAAAATCTCAGTAATAAGGTTTAAACAGAGCTTGTATGAAATGTCTTGAAATCTGCTCTTATGATTTACTTTTGCCTAAAAGAGCTTTGAAAAAGAAACCTTTTCAAATTTTCATTCTTGGATTTATAAATGTTATGCTGTTTATGTCATATTAAATTCTATTGCAATTTTAATGTGAGGTATAAAATAAATACATTTTTATTTTCCTATAATGGTCTTCAAAGACCAAGAAGTTATAGAAATGATTTTTAATCCCAAAAAGATATTTTCTAAGTGATATGTACCATACCATATTTCACACATTCCGTATTATTGCTTTCACTCTGATCATTAGAACACAGAACAGAACACTGTGCATCACGGACATAACAGCATAATGTAATATCAGTTTTCTTACCTCTCAGTCAGTATATTGATGTAATTTAGGCTAACCATAACAGAGTATTATGTCTTAGTCTTTAACATTTTTATTTTAAATATAAGAAATGTTGACATTTTTGCATCTTGCATGTTGTTTTACAGTTGTCATATAAAATAAGCCATCTTTATACACATTACCATGAGAACCTCAAATCCTACAAGGTATTAGAAATGAGATATTAATTATATTAGTGCCTACATTTCTGTTTTAAATGTACCCATAAAATATGTTTGGAAATGTGTCAGTTTGAATAGTGTGTGGTATTGATTTAGTAGTTTGGTAATGGTGGTTATGTGAGGGGAAGACGGTATGGAAAATGAAAGAATATTATGCTGAGCTGGGTCTGAGATTTTAAGGTTGATTGGTAGATTTGCAAGATGTCATGTTGGGGACCACAGGATGAATATTATCGATGAGAGTGAGCACTGATTGAACGAAACACAGTGGGATATTTTAATATTTTTAAACAGAAATCTAAAAAACTTTTGTGTGTTTTTGCAGGGACCCCCTGGTCCCCCAGGCCAAACAGGACCAATAGGACAACAAGGATTTCCTGGAATGGAAGGTCTTCCAGGACCAAAAGGGGACAAAGGGGACCCAGGTCCACAGGGACCTAGAGGACCGAAAGGAGACAGGGTAAGAACTGACAAAAACATGAACATTGTAGTTTACTTGTCATTTCTACTTTTAAACATGGATGCATGGTTCATTTAGTTGTAAAGGTAAAGAAGAAAATCTCAGTAATAAGGTTTAAACAGAGCTTGTATGAAATGTCTTGAAATCTGCTCTTATGATTTACTTTTGCCTAAAAGAGCTTTGAAAAAGAAACCTTTTCAAATTTTCATTCTTGGATTTATAAATGTTATGCTGTTTATGTCATATTAAATTCTATTGCAATTTTAATGTGAGGTATAAAATAAATACATTTTTATTTTCCTATAATGGTCTTCAAAGACCAAGAAGTTATAGAAATGATTTTTAATCCCAAAAAGATATTTTCTAAGTGATATGTACCATACCATATTTCACACATTCCGTATTATTGCTTTCACTCTGATCATTAGAACACAGAACAGAACACTGTGCATCACGGACATAACAGCATAATGTAATATCAGTTTTCTTACCTCTCAGTCAGTATATTGATGTAATTTAGGCTAACCATAACAGAGTATTATGTCTTAGTCTTTAACATTTTTATTTTAAATATAAGAACACTGAAATCTGTAAGGATGAAATATTGTACAGGGATCTAAACTCTTACATGTGGTGAGTGAGTGATTATTGGTTAAGCACAGTCTACCGACTCACATATTTTTACTAGCAGTGAAGATGTTAAAACTGACAAACAAAAACTGCCTGCTGTGCTGAAGAGACCTACGAGGTTGATATTGATAGTATGCAGAACATCTAGTTATTTTTATGTGAATTTTTGGGATAGCATATGAAATGAGAAGATTTTCTGAGGATGGCGAAAGGATTTTCTTTTGACAGTTGTAGTTACTGATTACAGTATACAACATATACAGAAGAATAGACATGATTACCCTTTGAAACCCAGTGGTAGCTAGTGTATTTCATGACTGTATCATTAATGTTGTACTAACAAATTTCAACTGAGTTTAAAATTTTCTACGAATTTATGTTGTTGTTGCTGAGACCACTGCTGTTATTAATACCGCTATTTTTATTGCTGCTACTGTTTTTATTATTGCTGTTTTTTAGTTGTTCCCGTATTGAGGATATCTCATATTATGCAATACAGGGTAGTTTGAATTTATAATTTATTATGACTGTTTTAGGGTAAAATGGGAATGCCTGGTTTCCCTGGCATAAATGGCATACCTGGTGTGCAAGGTCCACCAGGTTCACCAGGTCTTCCTGGCTTGGATGGCTGTAATGGAACTGATGTAAGTTCACAGCATACAGAACAAATTATAAATTACTTGTTATGTACATATTGTGCAAGGACATGATAATTGGTGAGTATGAAGGCTGAACTGCAATGTTCGTTGAACATTTTAAAATGAAATGAGAAAGAAAGAACAGATTTCATTGTTTGTTTGGAATTAATTTAAGAAATATGGAAGTATCCAAAATTTTATTATGGATACTGAATATTAATAGCAGAGTACAGGTTTACAATTTCTCCATTGAAAGACCCAGATGTGATATGAACTCAGGAAAAAAGAAAGTTGAGAGAACTTTGAATAATAAAATCTGACTTCCATTGGTATTAATAATAAGTATAGAAGAGATTTAGTTGGAGGTACTTGAATGTATATGAGTTTTGAAGTTGTGATGATGGTGAAGATGTTGATGTACTTTTATTGAGTTAAAATGGCTTGAACAGCACTTTTAGTGGTGCTGTTATGCATGCGAACTTATAAGTTTTCTCACATATATAATCACTTGTCAAGTTCAAATCAGGACTTCTAATAGGTGAAACCCACATATAGTATTCTGATTTTTTTGTGTATGTTGCTACCCCTGCACCCAGTGGGAGATGTTTGGGTGGAATGTTATGTGAACTATGAAGTGCTTTCTAATGGACTGTAATTTGTGTTTTTGTGGCTATTGTAGGGGCCTCCTGGAATTCCTGGCTTGCCAGGAGAGCAAGGCCCTAGAGGTTTTCCAGGATCTCTTGGTGGAAAGGGTGAAAAAGGAGAGGCTGCCTATGCTGGTCTGTTTCCAAAAGGACAGAAAGGAGAACCAGGTTCAGATGGAGTGAGAGGACCTCCTGGTCCACCAGGAACCTCGGGAGAAGCTGGATATCCAGGACCAAAAGGGGAAATAGGTCCTGTGGTATGTTTGACTTTTTTTGCTGTGAAGAAAGAATAATGAATTTTATGATATTCTTTTCCTCTGCACATCACATTTCAGTAATGCAACTGAGCAAGGTAGAAGATTCGCTCATATGCTCTCTTCCTTCTAGGAGTACCTGGTTTGAATTCTGGTCTTAGATTGAACTATAGTGATTTAAGGTTTTTGTGGTTTTATTCAATCCCATTTTTCAAATATTGTGACAGTACCTTAACAGAAATCATGGCTATTTCTTGCTAGTCATTCCAATTCAGTCTTAAAAATCTTCCTTTTATCTTATTTGACACTACATAATTTCTGTGGATGATGAAATAAGTTACAAATTAATGAAGTAAATACAGTAATGCAGAGCCCACAACTTCAGAAATCTTGTAATTAAGATTGGGACTTAAAGAAGGAGTCCTATGAATCCCGTAAACTAGGGCTCACATCTTCCATTTCTGTCTAAATCTCGATTTTAATGACAATGGGAGTTGTTTTATACTTTGTTCAAGAACAACCTACGTTATTCATGCCATCAATGTGCTAACACATTTTAACACACACATTTCCGCACAGACTTCGTAGAAACATCTATAATCATGCTATATTTCGTTTACTAGCTACAGTTGTTCAGTACTTATTGTATAAATAAAATTTCCATGGTTCACATCATCTTTGTTTTCCTTTTTCATTCAAAATTCCATTTTATATAAATACACATGTGATGCCTTTATCTGTATTATACAAATACACATGCTTTACATAATTTTTTAACTTGTATACTCTGACATTGCAGGGGCCAACAGGACCTACTGGCATAAAAGGAGAAAAAGGCAATATGGGTGTTGGATATGAAGGACAAAAGGGACAGAAAGGAAATAAAGGTGAAATAGGACCTGTTGGAAGTCCTGCAACTCTCCCATACACAGGGCCAAAGGGCCTCACAGTTGGACCTGTAGGAGATAAGGGTGATAAAGGGGAA